GACGACATGATCTTATATATAGAAAACCCCAAAGAATCCACAGAAAAACTATTAGAAATAATCAACAACTACAGCAAAGTAGCAGGGTATAAAATCAACACACATAAATCAGTAGCATTTCTATACACTAACAATGAACTAACAGAAAAAGAACTCAAGAACTCAATCCCATTCACAATCACAACGAAAAGAATAAAATACCTTGGGATAAACTTAACCAAGGAAGTGAAGGATCTATACAATGAAAACTACAAGACTTTCTTGAAAGAAATTGACGATGACATAAAGAGATGGAAAGACATTCCTTGCACATGGATTGGAACAATAAACATAGTTAAAATGTCCATACTACCTAAAGCGATATACAGATTCAATGCTATCCCAATCAGAATCCCAAGAACATTCCTCACAGATATTGAACAAACAATCCTAAAATTCATATGGGGCAACAAAAGACCGCGAATTGCTAAAGCAATCCTGAGCAAGAAAAACAAAGCCGGCGGAATCACAATCCCCGATTTCAAAACATACTACAAAGCTACAGTGATCAAAACAGCATGGTACTGATACAAAAACAGGTCCACAGATCAATGGAACAGAATTGAAAGCCCAGAGATAAAACCACACATCTATGGACAGCTAATCTTCGACAAAGGAGCAGAGGGCCTACAATGGAGAAAAGAAAGTCTCTTCAACAAACGGTGCTGGGAAAACTGGACAGCCACATGCAAAAGATTGAAAATTGACCAGTCCTTTTCACCACACACCAAAATAAACTCAAAATGGATCAAAGACCTAAAGATTAGGCCTGAGACAATAAGTCTTTTGGAAGAGAATATAGGCAGTACACTCTTTGACATCAGTTTCAAAAGAATCTTTTCGGACACTGTAACTCCTCAGTTGAGGGAAACAATAGAAAGAATAAACAAATGGGACTTCATCAGACTAAAGAGCTTCTTCAAGGCAAGGGAAAACAGGATTGAAACAAAAAAACAGCTCACTAATTGGGAAAAAATATTCACAAGCCACTTATCCGACAAAGGGTTAATCTCCATAATATACAAAGAACTCACACAGCTTAACAACAAAAAAACAAACAACCCGATCAATAAATGGGCAGAGGACATGAACAGACATTTCTCAAAAGAAGATATGAATATGGCCAATAGACACATGAAAAGATGTTCATCATCGCTAATCATCAGGGAAATGCAAATCAAAACTACACTAAGATATCACCTTATACCCGTTAGATTGGCAAAAACATCCAAAACCAAGAGTGACAAATGTTGGAGAGGTTATGGAGAAAAAGGAACCCTCATACACTGTTGGTGGGAATGCAAACTGGTACAACCACTATGGAAAACAGTATGGAGATTTCTCAAAAAGTTAAAAATAGAAATACCCTATGACCCAGCCATCCCATTACTGGGTATCTATCCTAAGAACCTGATATTAGAAATCTCAAGAGTCCGTTGCACCCCTATGTTCATCGCAGCATTATTTACAATAGCCAAGACGTGGAACCAGCCTACATGCCCAGAAACTGATGATTGGATAAAGAAGATGTGGTATATATACACAATGGAATACTACTCAGCCATAAAAAAAGACAAAATTGGCCCATTCACAACAACGTGGATGCACCTCGAGGGTATTACGTGAAGCGAAATAAGCCAGTCAGAGAAAGACAAACTCTATATTACTCCACTCATAGGTGGAATTTAGTATATTGATATGGAGATCTGATCGGTGGTTACCAGGGAAAAGGGGGGTTTGGGGGAGGGCACAGAGGGGGAAGTGGTGTACCCACAACATGACTAACAAAAATGTACAACTGAAATCTCACAAGGTTGTAATCTATCATAACATTAATAAAAAAAAAAGTATATAAACTGTAGAGCACTCCTAGAAGAATGTATGTCTTATTAAACCAGGTAGAAGGTAGAGTATCCCAACTCCAAAAAGACCAAGAAGAACAGAATCATGCAGGGAAGTTAGTGAAAGGCTCAAGATTCTGTGGGCTGCTCTTTTCCCCCCTACTTTTATTTATATAGGCACTTTCTTTGAATCATTCTAGAATTTGCCTCTTAAGAATGCAGACTTTCATATTCTTTAAAAAGGAAGAATAAAGGAGGAGACTTCATGACTAACAGAGTTGCAGAAAAATCCAAGCTAGGAAGGGAATGCCCTTCTTCTTAGAATACTTCATACTGTCAGAAGTGAGTGTGCTTGAGTTTGGAGATGTGTCTATTCAGAGGAGTGATGACACTCAGCACTTCTGTGACAGCTTATTACAAAATAACGTGATACCTCTCCATGGAAGTAGCCATTCTTGATTGCAAATATTATTTCACTGCTTGTGGCTGAAAACACAGCCTACCCAGGGATCATAACAGCTGCTGTGGTGCTTTATTTCAGTTACATCATGGATGATCAAGATGTATATCATTTGCCATGGCTGAACTTTGTTCCATTTAAAACAACAACAACAACAACAGGGGCCAGCCCGGTGGCATAGTGGTTAAGTTCATGCGCTCTGCTTCGGCAGCCCAGGGTTTGCAGGTTCGGATCCCAGGTGCGGACCTACACGCTGTTCATCAAGCCATGCTGTGGTGGTGTCCCACATACAAAATAGAGGAAGACCGGCACAGGTGCTAGCTCAGGGACCATCTTCCTCACTAAAAAAAAACAAAAACAAAAAAAACACAACAAACCCTGGGTTTTGTGAGTGGTGTGGTCTGAGAAGTAGTTCACGTGGAGTGCCTTGTGTATGTTAAGAGAATGTCACATGACAATGAATGAGGCATAGTAAAGGGTGCGTTGTCATTTGCCCTTGCAGGCGGTAGCAACATCTAAGGAGCCACCCTACCAGGTTCAATGTTCTAGAAGCAATGGGACTTGTAAAAGAAACAGTAAATCTCTCTATTCTAGAGGAGCTTGATCTCAAGTTGAGAATATAGAACGTACACATCCAAAACGATTTGATTACTTAAAAAGTAGCAGGCAACTGACATGCTGGATGCTGTTGTGATTAACAAAATGTAAATCCAAATAAAGCATGACAGTGGTATTACATCTTATATGGCATTGGGTTAGAAAGTCAAGGCTGAAGAAAATCAAGGTAAATAAAATTATCCAAGAAAATCTTAGGACAGCATTTTGAGTACCCACATACCATCCCTCCATCAGCCCAACTCCGCTATTTTCTTTGGCATTGGAAAAGATTGCTCTTCCTTCAGTTAATGGAAGTGCTGGCTTGTATTTAGGAGTCACGTTGAATGAGAAATGCATAGCTTTAAAGACCATGTCCTGATACATGCTACAGCATGGGTGAATCTTGAAGACTACTGTGCTATGTGAAATAGCCAGATGTGAAAGGACAAATATTGTATGATTCCTCTTATATGAGGTACCTGGAATAGTCAAATTCATAGACACAGAAAGTAGAATGGTAGTTACCAGAGTCTGGGGGGAGGGCAAATGTAGAGTTAGTGTTTACTGGGTACGGAGTTTCAGTTTGAGATGATGGAAAGGTTCTGGAGATGGATAGTGGTGATGGTTGCACAGCAGTGTCACTGTGCTTAATGCCACTTAACCATATATTTAAAAATGGTCAAAATGGTAAATTTTATGTTATATATATATTTTTTACTACAATTTTAAAAAAGACATTATCCAAATTGTGAAGGTAGTTCCAAAAGAAGAGTTCAAAAAACATTGTAAGCAATGGTAACTTTGTGGTAACAAGTAGTTTATGTGTAGATTTCCAAAGAGAACATTCATTTGGATGTATACATTTAAAAAAATCAAGCTCCTCATAAATAGGGCTAATTTTTGCTTGTTAGATATGAAGGGATGACCTACCTCTTTATTTTATAGCCAAGGAGGGAGATCAGAACCCAAAGAGATGAAGAGAATTTTCCAAGCTTACACATTGAGGTTCTGGTTGAGGGCTCCAAGCCCAGAGTTAGGACCAGAACCTAACCCCCTTTACTCAGCAGCAGCTCTCCCTGTGCAAGTGTTTACTAGGTGACAGCATGCCACTACTCCCTTCATCTTTGCGTGTCCCAGTACCATTTTTACTATTACTTAATCGTTTTCTTTGTATCAACTTATTTCATGTAAGATACATTTATTTCATACAGTTATTTTAAAAAGGAAATTTTATATCACTACTTTAAATGGAAAATCTGTGGAACCCATCTAAATGATCAGAAAAAGTACAGTGACAGCAAAACAATGCTGTTTTAGTTAGATGTTATTGTTTTGAAACTGAAATCTGTTTTGAAGCTGAAGCCTGTTCTATTTTTGTTAAAAGGGTAGATTGGTAATTTTTAGGTATTAAAGACATACTAGCACCAAAATGGCCTGATGTGAAGGATTAAAAGAAGTCATAGGGGGATGACTTTCTCACTGTGAGTCAGTGGTATTTACATCATTTCCCACCACTGCCAGTGGGTATGACTGAGAAACATGTGCCATACCATGCAGCCTCCCCAGCAAGCAGAGTAGGTGGGTTTTGAATTTGTTTTACAGAAAAGCAGTGGATAAGGGTAAAATATAGAGAAGTGATTCACAGAGGGGGGTGAAAGTGGGCACAGAATTTCAAGAACCAGGATTGTTATACATTGTTATTGATGAGTGTGCTTGATCCCTGTGTTTAGGATGGGGGGAAAAAGGATTGACAATGATTAACTTAGAGCTGTAGTGTTTCTTAGTAAGGACGCTATTGGCCTTTGGGGCCAGATAATTATTATGCAGGACTGTCCCACGCATGGATATTTTTGTTCCCTGGGCACTAAATGCCAATAGTAAAACCCTCCCTCTTGTCATTTTGGTAACAAGTTCCCATACATTTTTAAATGCCTTTTAAGGGTGGTTAAGTACTACTCCCTCCACCAGGGGAGGAATGGGGAGTTTATTCTAAGCAGAGGGAATGGCCTCTACAAATGTATGGAAGCAGGGCTGAGCATTTGAAACTTGTCTATCTTTTCCAGAAGAGAAGAAGAAGTTGATCAGAGATTTTGATGAAAAGCAACAGGAAGCAAATGAAACGGTGAGAACAGGGAGCAAGTCTTTGTTTTCTTCTACCTGGTGTTGGTCTTTTCCAGAAGTAATGCCTATGACCACATCACAGATTAACTGTTCATCTATTGATTCTGATTTTGATTATTTCTTACTAAATGAGGCCAGTTGACGGGGATGCATGTTTAGGGGGGTTGACAAACATAAAGGGGTAAAGCTTGAAGACTCTCCTGAAATGAGTCTTTGATAGTACATTCCTCATGTAAGGACCTGAGTGGTCTTTTAAAAACTGGCCATTAATATCAGTTATTCTGGGGCCGGCCCCGTGGCCGAGTGGTTGGGTTCTCGCGCTCCGCTTCGGTGGCCCAGGGTTTTGCCGATTTGGATCCTGGGTGCAGATGTGGCACCGCTCGTCAGGCCATGCTGAGGCGGCATCCCACATGCCACAACTAGAAGGACCCACAACTAAAAATACACAACTGTGTATCGGGGGGCTTTGGGGAGAAAAAAGGAAAAATAAAATCTTTTTAAAAAAAATCAGTTATTCTTCTTTGTTAAACTTACTGTCACAGAAAATGTAGCTCAGAGGTGGTTCTAGCCACATTTCCTTCTGTTTTAAAAGACAGCATAATGGCTGGATTTGTTACCTTGGGCAAAGCATGCATGAACAGGATGAGATCCAATCAGGACCCAGAGTTTGTCAGAAGCTGGTCCAGGTTGCTGAGCAGTTTAACAATTGCTTCTCTCTTAATTTGTGGCTTTTCTTTAAATAAAGAAAACAATTTTTCTGTTTCCATATCATTATGCTGTACCTTCAGCAAACCCTTTCAGGAGATTGGGGCTAACATCCGGGTCCCTGGCAGTACCCTGCAGAAATAGTTGCTCCTGGTTTTTGCTACCACAGAGTAGACCGAGATGAAAAATTCCTTTTAAGCCAGGGAACTTGCTTCTTGCTTATTGAAGAACAACTTCCCTACCTGAATGAAGTTCTGAGAAGTTAAGCTTATCTGCATGCTTTTCTCTGTTCTATATATGTTTTAAGGAGGATCAGGCCACCAGACTGTGGAAGCTTCTCCATAATAGGAGTACTAGAAGCTTTTCCTAATACCTCTGTGCAGCTGAGCATATCCATGATATCTGTTAGGGAGCCAGTATTCCTTTTCAGTTAACATCTTAGTGGCATTTAAAAAAATCTTTTAGCTAATACTAGTTTCTTTGTTTGGTGCTTACATACTTTCTCTGAATTTAGCAAAATTAACCACGTCTACTCTTGGCCACCCCGGGCTGATGAAAATAATTTATGGCCTCTTGTGAACATGTCTAGGTGTTACATTTTACTTATCCCAGAAAAATGGAAATCTGGTTTGCACCCCTGGTTATCTCAGACATGGAGACAGACAATTGATTTTCAGAAAGAGGAGAAGGAAGGGAAGAACCTTGATGCCAAACCCCTATCGCTTGTAGTACTGTAGAACCTCGGAGTGCTTCATGATAGCACTTGAACCGTAACGGTAAAGAACTTGGTATACTGAAAAGACAACTTGAAGATTTTGAATCCTAACAGCTCTTATTGTGTAATTTTTGAGCAAGTTTCTTCAAGTCCTATATATGAAGTAGAAGTAGTTTTTCCTATCTTATTGATTTGTTGTGAGGATTAAATGAGGGAATGTGTGTAAAAATATTTACTGAGGTATAAGGTGCTTGTTAGTTTTTTCCGTCATTCATCATAGACTTTTTTGTTGAGGAAGATTAGCTCTGAGCTAACATCTGCTGCCAAACCTCCTCTTTTTGCTGAGGAAGACTGGCCCTGAGCTCACATCCATGCCCATCTTCCTCTACTTTATATGTGGGATGCCTACCACAGCATGGCTTGTCAAGCAGTGCCATGTCCGCACCTGGGATCTGAACTGGCAAACCCCGGGCCGCCAAAGTGGAACGTGCACACTTAACCACTGCGCCATCAGGCTGGCCCCCGTCATATACTTTTTGAATGCCTGTTCTATGCTTGCTAGGCACTGTGCCAGGCACTCAGCATAATAAGGTGAACATGTCACGTGTGGTCCCTGCCCTCATGGAGCATATGGTTATGTACTTATTTGGGGTTGTCTGTGGTTTGAGTATTCCAAACCAGGCATGTGCCCAGATCAGAGAGAAAAGAACCAAGCCATCCACTCGCTACTTTCTGCCTTCCTAGCTGGCAGAGATGGAAGAGGAACTACGTTATGCGCCCCTATCTTTCCGTAACCCTATGATGTCTAAGCTTCGAACCTACCGGAAGGACCTTGCCAAACTCCACCGGGAAGTGAGAAGCACACCTTTGACAGCTACACCTGGGGGCCGAGGAGACATGAAATATGGCACATATGCTGTAGAGAATGAGCACATGGTAAGCGTCAGCTGCTTTTTTTCCCCTTAAGAGCCTATGGTACAAGATTTAACTATATTGTGGAGTACAGTTGATGTTATCAGTGCATACTAGACTCTTGTTTCTCCCACCTTATCCTCTTTCCTGTATCCAGTTCCCCTTCTCCCCTTGGGTACCCACCTCTACTATATTTAATGCAGATCTTTCCAAACCATATGCTTATTTAGATTTCTTTGTATCCTTGATATATAACACAGTGCTTAGTATGTAGTGGAGGTATACAAGTGTTACCTAGTCTTATTATATCTGGACTCTCTATTCTGACCTGTTGATCCAGTTTCTTTCCCATGTATGCCCAAAAACTTGTTACATTTTTAGTTTATCAGAGTACTGTTATAAAATTAACCCAAGCTTTCCTTTACATTTATATAAAGATGGCCCAACTGCCCACATACAGCAGAGAAGGCAAGATGCATCTCAAGAAGAGGCTAACACCTTATTCTGTTTAATGGGAAGTGAACCAGACTTGCTTCTCTAGCATCCAGTAGTCTGATTTATAAAAGTCTACTAAAATGAAAAAGCTGTATTTTGAAACTATCTAGAGAAGCTAGATAAAGGAATAAAAACTTCAGAGATTAAATTTAATGCGTTGCATTATTATATTCCACAATACAAAGTAGAAATGGCCTGGCAAATAGCGTGGGAAAGGGAAGGGGGCCCACAGGTACAGACTGCACATATGCAGAAAGGCTAATAGTACAATTTTAAACAAATAAATCCTATTTCATGATGCATCCTGATTATAGTTTGAGACATTGAGATGATACTGGCCTGACATTGCTGATGTCAAAACTGGAGCATTTGAGAATGATGTAAAATTTTGATAATTCACTTTGTGAAGTGAGACTGCAAAAGGCAGGTAGGTGGAGCTTGTTAAAGTGAGATCAGAGGTGTAATAGTGACTTTGGTCAGTTGTTAATGAAAAAAAACCCGAAAACAAAAGGGAGAGATAAGTCCAAACAATTTTGCTTTAAAATTATTCATTTCAGAAATAAAAACAATTTAGATATACATGTGGAATGTATATCACAGTAAAATTATTGTTGCAAATCTGAGGTTGATTTATGTGATCTGTCTTTTCCTGTTCTTTCTTCAGCCTGATCAGATGACAATCCTTATCTTTTATTTAAAAAAGCCTTATTTCTGCTTCTTTTAAGCTAAACTAAAACTAAAATAAACTGGAGTTTATTTCAGCCTCATTCAGTGGTTTCCTCATCCACTGGTCTATATGCCAAATGTGAAGTGAAAAGACTTGTTACTTCTGATCTGGGAACCCACCTTGGCTTCTTGATGGTGGTGTCTGGTGCTGGTAGTCACCTGCTCAGGGATAGGCCCTGTGAGCCGGCCCCTTTGTGTGCGCGTGCACAGATGCATGCTTTGAATAGCTAAAAACTTAGAGCTGCACCCATTTCTTTCAGTGGTGGTTAATTCTGGCCTGACAAAGGCTACTTCTGTCCTCATGCCTTGTGTGTTTAGGATTATAGGTGGAGTAAAAAAACTGGTGGGGATTTAGAAAATCGGGGCAGAGTACTTGGCCCCAGACACCTCCTGCCCTGAGAGCAAATCTCCAGTTTGGCAACTTCAGAGTTTTTCTGGTTGGCCAGAGGTGAAATTCCTTTTGGGTGTACCAAGATGTAGCCACTTAAGTTTTTTCCAGCATGTGGTAGTGTCTCAGACTTCTAAATGATTTCTATATGTGCTGAAAACTAATAGCTCATTCAGAGTCCCTCAGTACCAATCAAGTGGGAATCTTCAGTGAATTACTCTATTTCTAGGGCTGTAGAGTTTAGTTGGTTTGCTTGTTGCACTATCGAAGTTACAGGCTGTATGCATTTTCAGGTAGCTTCTACACCCCAAATCTGGGCCTCTGCCTCTCAGAAGTTGCTAGTCCAGAAATGCATGAGCCAGTTCAAATTCATCACGTACACAGGGAAAATGCTCCAATATTAATCCTTCCTTTTTGGCCTCACTTAAGTGTAACAAGCAGTGGAGTGGGAGGTATTCTGCTCCTATATTGGATTCCAGGTTCTGCTTTAGTCTGACCTTGAGAAGGATCTTATAGTTCATTAGCACTTTGGTTGTCTTAAAAGTAATAAAAATGATTGCACACTATATCCCTTACATAAGAACGGCCATAAGGAATGTGCTGGCACTGAATTTATAATGGAAGTCATCTAACATTTTCCTTCCACACTCCTGTCAGAATCGGCTGCAGTCTCAAAGGGCATTACTTCTGCAAGGCACTGATAGCCTGAACCGGGCCACCCAGAGTATTGAGCGCTCTCATCGGATTGCCACAGAGACTGACCAGATTGGCTCAGAAATCATAGAAGAGCTGGGGGAGCAACGTGACCAGTTGGAACGTACCAAGAGTAGAGTAAGTCAGGGCGGACAGGGAAGGGGCAGGAGTGTGGAAAGTGGGTGGGTCCACTCCACTCTGATGCCTTGCTACTGACAGAAGCTATAGCAGTTCTGAATTCAGAGTGTGACCTTTCACGTTCTTGTGCTTTTCTCAATTTTAGTTTGCTTGGCTGAGAGATTGCCCTTGGAAGTAATTTCACCCCTAAGATTTAGAGGTCATTGGAGGGGGAAAAAAAAAGACTAAAGAAACCCAATTTCTGCTTTTATTTAAGATTGCAGCCACTCCATTCTTTTATTAATTCCTGTATTACCAATCAGATTTTTATTTCTCATACATCTAGTGAAACAGTCTGCTAATTTTATGAAAATATCATCTACTTTAAAAGATCCTAGATTTCCTGTCATTTGGAGCCAAGGCTCTTTTCCATATCATAAAGTAGTACCACTGACAATTTATAGAGGTTCAATCCTGGACTATAACTCTTTACTGTTACCAAAGGTAAGCTGGATCATTGTGGGAAGAAAATGGAAATACTTAGGCCAAATGAACACTAAATTGGGGCCTCTAACCTGCTATCACTCTGAGAGGCTCTGAAAAACAACTCATTTCTTCCTTTCCATACATCTGCATAAAAATTTTAAAAACAGTACAACTTGCCAATGGAATGCCGTGCTCTTAATCGCATGAGGCAAATCCAAACTGCGGGCAAGATTTAGATGGGAAAATATTTGACGTGATTATCTTGTACATCTTAATAGCTGCAATTCTCCATTCTTAAATCAGTGATGCCCTTCTCTCCTCAGTGAAAAGTCACAATAAAGTACTGAATTCAAGGTAAGCTATGGAGAAAGCAAGTTGCTTACAGATAATGTAGTTTTTGACTTTTGAACATATGAGGTGGATTGATTGAATTTAAAGGCCAAGGAATGTGCTCAGAGATCAACTTACCAAGGCAACTGGGCAATGGGAACAGATGGCAGATGGCATCTGTTGAAATATCCTCCAGCTATCTAGGTTAGTAACAGGCAATTGAACAAGAAAGTTTTTTTAAAAAGGCTCAAGATTAATTCCTTTCACAATTCAATGTAAGTGTCTCTTAAAGGAATAAAGAAAAAAAAATAACCAGATCCCAAAGTGGTAATCCACCAGCCTATAAAAACAAACACTAATTCAAGAGGCTCTCCTGGAGTTTGGCTGATGAAATTCAAATCCCAAATTGCTCAGAGTTGCTTCAGTTACTGGTGAGGTATGTTTGAAGCCTTTCTGTTTTGAGTAGCTAAGGTGAAAGATTAGCTTGATCCCGGAAGTCCCCCACGGCGAGCTTGGATATAATAATTCCTAAGCTTACCTGATGAGTACTAAAGCCTCTTGTCCTTTCCAGTTTCTTCTACTTATACTCAGAGGCCATCATTTAAATTGGTTTGATTTCTTGGAGTTTTTCAACATATACTCCTTAATGCCCACTGTCAGTTTAGGAATGTTCAAATTCTACAGTGTATACTTTTGAAAGAAGGGGGAAGTAACTGCTGTTTTCTCTTTTCAGCTGGTAAACACAAGTGAAAACTTGAGCAAAAGTCGAAAGATTCTCCGTTCAATGTCCAGAAAGTAAGTTTTAGAAAGTCTCAAAATTAATTTCTTTTAACGTTTTTCAACCAAGAATGTCAAAGCTTTGAACAATAACTTGTGATGGTCCTAATAAAGCAGAAAAAATAAAGAACGTTATCTTGTGTAGTTAAATATCCCAGGAAAAAATCCTTTGTTGAAAGTATATATGCTCTGACTTGGAGCAGTGGAAAGTTTATCCACTGGAAAGACTTTTAATCCAAGCTTACATTCCTTAGAGAAGACAGCACATGGGAAAAATAGAGCTTCATATTTCTTGAAATATATTTTTAAAAACTTGATTAGAAAACTTTTCACTGCTACTTCTTAGTACTTGGTTTTGGCTCTGCTTGCCCTTCATGGTAGTCTGCCCTTTATCTGGGAGTTCTGTCTTATTAGTACAAAGTTGACTTAAAAAAAAAAAAACTCTTGGGCTGGCCCAGTGGTATAGCGGTTAAGTTTGCGTGCTCTGCCTCGGCAGCCCGGGTTTCACCAGTTCCGATCCCAGGCGTGGACCTATGCACCGTTTATCCAGCCATGCTGTGGTAGGCATCCCACATAAAAAATAGAGGAAGATGGGCACTGATGTGAGCTCAGGGCCAATCTTCCTCAGCAAAAAAGAGGACAATTGGCAGCAGATGTTAGCTCAGAGCTAATCTTCCTCAAAACAAACAAATCTGTTGACATGAGTGCTGACAGCAGTAAAAGCAGGGGCAGAAAGGAAATATTGCCACTGAGGTTGAATTTGAGGTAAGTGGGTAGTGTGCATGAAACAAAACTATTACCAAGTCATGGAACTAGGAAAATCATTCTCCTACTAAACAGTGGTGAATTCCTTGTTTGGAATGGGGGAAACCTTCAATTTAGACTGAACATGAAAACCAGAGATTAGATTCTGTTAACAAAAGATAGTACCTTTTTTTGAAGCTGCTATACTACCTTTATAGAGACATCCATTTGGGTTGATGGAGGAAGAGAGAGTAAGAAGGGCAAGAAGTTTACAACAGAGATTGAAAGGCCCTACCCAGCTTAGTTACTTATCCTCATCCCTGAGCTGGCTTTCTGCACTGGAGAGTCTGCCACAAACTCTTCTCCCAGCATATGCTCACAGCTGTAGCATGTAATTGCTGCAGCTCTAAATGGTTAGTGATAGTGTATTTCTACTGTTTTGAAATATGATTCGACCTGATTCCAAAAATGGTATACTTTTTCATATGTATATTTATTATTTTTCCAACTAGCTCCTCCTAGAAAAGCTGTTTTTAAAGAGAAGTAGTAAATACTATTTGAAGACAGACATTTTAGAATCAAGAAACCACTTTTATGCTTTGGTATCTACTGTCCAAGTTTTTAACCTTTCTGTGAGGTAGATGTGTTATCCCTAAGTTACAGCTAAAGAAGCTTCTGAGTTGTCATTTACCAGCTAAAAAAACCTTATAAATACTTACTGCTAAGTGGCTGTGTGATCAAACAGAAATTCAGCCTACCTCCCAGTATCAAGCCTTGGCCCCAGGTCAAACCCCTAAGTATTAATGGAAAGAAATAAGGTTATCCAGACTTCTGACTACTCCTCACTTTGCTTCTCTTTGTAGAGTGACGACCAACAAGCTGCTACTTTCCATCATCATCTTACTGGAGCTAGCCATCCTGGGAGGCCTGGTTTATTACAAATTCTTTCGGAAGCATTGAACTTCATCCAGGGAAGGCTTTGTGGACTAGAACTTCAACCCTGTGAATGAATGGCGTTAAGACATGGAATAAAGCGTATTGCTGCTGTGAGCTGACAGTTCAAGGATGCACTGCGTGGCCAGACTGTGGGAGGAGGGAGGGAAGACCGAAAACCACTTAAGTGTGAAGGAACAGCAACACGACCAGTATGCTCTACCAAGGTAATAAATGCTGTTTATGACTTTAAATTTACATGGTACACTAACATATTAATACCCTGTGAACTGCAGAAAACCAAATACATGTACAATAGTATTATTGGTCACCGAAGTGGAGAGAGGAAGGAAACTTTACAATTGTGAGAATGCACAAATGTTCTCATTAAGGCAGTATTGACCCAGACAACCATTTAATATCTGTCCCCTCAAATACCTCTTAACTCTGGAATGTTCATTGTGACACACGTGTCAGCACACAGTATTTCCTAAATTCTCACAAGTTCTTCACTTTGTGATTCATCTGGTGAGTAGGAAGTTGGTCATAGACAGTGTGCCCTCCCCCTCCCTTGTCTGACCAAAACTTGAAGCAATCACATCCACTGCTAGGACAGCCGTAGCCTTGGCCTCTTCCTCTGAAGCAGCCACCCAAGGATTGACTTCAACAAGATCCAGTGCTGACAGCAACCCTGAAAGAACAAAGTATGACAAAACCTCAGAAAACCCCCTAGTTGCTACTTTCAGTGAGGGTTATCCCATTTAGACAGAACAAGCCAAGGTAAAAACAAGTCATTTTCTACTATAAAATTATCCACTGTCAGGAAAATTCCTTATACCACCTCCTCTTGGGCATGAATTTAAGTTAAAACACTGGTATACTAGAGTAGGACTGAAAGAAACCTTTAAGGTAATAAAATCAGTCACCTGTTCAAGTAACATAACAGGCATCACTGTCAGGCTTTCTGGATAGGATAAGGAAACAGCTTGGGAGTGGGGCAGGGGCAAGGAGTTTCCAACCTATTTGTTGGGAAAATATGTGCCATTTCCAGTATTAGGAACCTTCCAGATGCCTGCCTGTAGTTGTTTGAAGAGGAGGTCTCCCACTTCTCACTAGCCAGAGCTCTTTTCCCACTTTTGAACTGACGCTATGTCTGTTATCTCTTAAGGCACCATGAACCCTCAAGTGTGGTTATTACTGCATAACTTACTCTTTGCCCCTGCAGGCCTGAGCTTTGAGGGCAGGTTCCACGTCTGACACAGTTTTTAGGTCTCTCATCAGACTGACCTAGTATCTTGCACTTGGTCAAAGGAAGACGCAGCCATACTTTGTTTAACTTGGACTCAAGTTACCTTCTCTGAGGGCTTGAGAACTTGCACCAAAGGGAAGATTAGACCAGAAGAACCTATCCAGACCTACCCTCTACCCACTCCCTTGGCCCCTAAACACACATACACATGCCCCACTTCTCTGAGGTATTTAACTTTTTAGTTGGTTATTCTGGGTGAATTTAATATATCTCTTGAAGAATCATCTAAACAACCTAGTATTCAAGAATATGAAGTATCTGAGAATTTTTAGGGTGGCCATAAAGCCTGCAAACATGGGTGAATACACCTAATGGTTTACTGATACTACATTATCGTACATGATATGTTCAATGCCATTACATCAGTTCAGTGTGCTGTCCCTTATCAGCAATGCATAGTTCAGTGCACTGTGTAAAACTGCGACCAGCAGGCACGGTACTCTGGCATTTCCACCAATTCCTGCACATGCATCTGTGTCTCTGATGCTTTGTGTGTGTGACTTCCACTAACTAATTCTGGGCCTTTAGCATAGCCCAGTAGTAATCGAGAGGGTTTGAGCTATTAATATATATTACCCATGTTTCCAGACTATCGCCACCCTGTAAATTCATTTACGCAAACTGTTTGGTTTTTTTTTGGAGGAAGATTAGCCCTGAGCTAACATCCATGCCCATCTTCCTCTACTTTATATGTGGTGGGACACTTGCCACAGCATGGCTTGCCAAGTGGTGCCATGTCTGCACCCGAGATCTGAACCTGCAAACCCCAGGCCACCGAAGCGGAACATGCACACTTAACCACTGCTCCACCAGGCAGGCCCCTAAGCAAACGGCTTTATGTATCTAGTTGACAGTGTCATGACAGTCTTGTGGAATAGAATAACACTGCAGCAGGGGAGGAAGGGACAAGGTATGACCACTGCCCCATCTATGTGCTGGAAGTTACTAATCCTTGCTCTAAGTGGTGTCATTTGGAACCAGAATGGAGGACTGAACTCCCAGGTTCACTGGCCACTAACTCAAGGACAGCTGACAACATCCAAGATTGTGGGTGTGAAAATGAGATTATCTTGCCACTGTCAGATCTGATAGACAAGTATTTTTCCCTTTCTGTAGTGCCTAATGCTTTAGGAGGCTCTGGACCCAGGGAAACCACTTCTCAATTTCCTTATCTATCCCAGCTAGTCAAGGGTGTCCTGTAGTCCTGGGCCTTTCAAGTTTTGGGTCTCTATGCTATTTAGACCTCAATTTCATGAGATGGTATTGAAGTATCATGTGGTAGTTGTTTAAATTTTGCAATGCAAGGTCATTTAACCTAGTCTTAAAACCAGCAGCTTTCTGACAGAAGTGGAAACTGTTTGGAAACAAGTCTGAGTTTTGGGACAGTAAACCCTCATAGCCACTCTTAATAACCTAGCATTCAGTTTACTCATTTTCCTGTTAGCCATTCATCTTCCAGTGTCCCCATTATTAAAGCACTGATCAAACAAGCTCTAGGATAAGACTTATCCTATATGAAAGGACCCAGCTTTGAAGTACCTTCAAGAGAACCTTTAACTCCACATTCCCAGCTCCCAGTAAACCAACCTTTTAATGTCAGGGTAAAAATGACAGCTACTTGGCCTTGCTTTTTAATCTTAATCTGCCTTCAGACAATTCAGATACAAAGAACTACAGCAGTTTGACAGTTTATTCTTGTACTTAATAAATATTTAAGTAGACAATTTTTTATTCAACATTACTTTAGCATATTTTGGTATGATCCAGGTCCAAACATGCCTCTAAATGACTATCCCTTATGACTTTAGCTATAAGTTTAAGCAAAAACAACGTCTGCAATGACATGAATAACAGAAAGGATTCCGGGGCAGGCAAGAGGCTTCAGCCTATTTACTTGGTAGTTAACAGGTTCATCACTACTTACCTGTATTGTGTATTTCCTCAGTAATATATATGCCTTCTCGATAAGTCAGTCCCCCTACAACAGGGGTTCCTGTGGCTGGAGCCAGTGTAGGGTCAAATGCATCGATATCAAAACTCAGATGGATTGGCCTTTGTCTTCTTGAAAGGAGGAGGAGAAGAGTCAGTTGGTTGTGCTTGGACATTCATCCTTCCTACAGTTGCAACTCCTTGATTTTGTTGCTGTTAGTCCTGGTATTCTGTTACTACAGCAGGTTTCCAGGTTTCCTATTCTGGAAGTTACTGAGTATTACCCTAATAGCTTCCTACACACTTCATAATTTTGCCATTTGTTCTGTATGCCTCAGACAGACTAGCTCCAGTTTATATTTATGACGTACCCTGGGCCTCAGGGCCTCTTAACAACTATCAATAAAGGGAATTCTTCACTTCCATATGACATTGGGCGCTGATAGAATCTAATGTAAGTTCTCTCAGAATCTAACAGCAGCTGAACATAACTGTGATTTTACGTTATCTGATCTGATCTTACCTTCCTCTTCTAACCTCATTTCAACCCAAATGTCCAATGGCTGAAACTAATATACAACAAACACCTATATACTAAATAACTAACTTAACAGCTTAGGAAATGGCATAGTACTAGGTAACAATCACCCAGAAATAAAGATTCAGCACTGGGAAGATGCCCTTAAAACTAGCATTTGATTAGCATTCATCTGCCATCTTTTTACACTACCAAGATTTGCTTAAAACAAAACTCCTTTCACATGAAGCATTAATGAGGCTGGGAAGAATGGGACAGTTGGAACTATGAATGCTTCTCATGTCAAAAGATAAGCATTAAAGGGGCCAGCCCAGTGGTGTAGTGGTTAAGTTTGTGTGCTCTGCTTCAGTGGGCCACGATTCACAGGTTTGGATCCTGGACACAGACCTACACACTGTTCATCAAGCCATGGTGTGGGGGCATCCCACATCAAAAAACCAGGAAGATTAGCACAGGTGTTAGCTCAGGACCAATCTTCCTCACAAAAAAAAGATAGGCATTAAAAATGGAGCTAAACAGAAATTCATGAGAGAGAGAAGATCTGGCTAATGACTTCAAGGAAACCCTCCTCCCAACCCCAGAGGAAGAATACAACCTATGTTTCATATTCTCCCTTTCTGAATTATTTGAATTTTTTAATATGTACTTGTTCTGATTGTATTTTAAAAGAAAAGCTACTATCCTCAAAAGACATGTTAAAGTGTGCTGCCCACTGGGAGTCCGCCCTATTCCCTTGTGGACCTGGAAGTAGACATCCATCCTAGTTACTTACTTGCCAATCAGCAGATCAAATGTCTGTTCCATGACCTTCTGGATACCAAGTCGATCTATGTCTCTCATGGAAAAATACTGGATATCATAATTCTTTAAAATAAAACTGTGGTGAGATATAAAGGAAGGAGTCCTTAGTTTAAAGGGCATTTTTAATCAAAGGCATGTGTGTGCGGGGAATCGTTACAGTGACCTGCAACATGTTAAGGTAAGAAATCACCTATCGAATAGTACATAAGGAGCCAGGACAGGCCCAAAGCTTAACCTTAGTGTATCAACTTACTGTTCAGCAGGGTCCACATCTCTTAGACCAATATACACAATACTTGGGGAAGAAATACAAGGTTTGATCCAGGAAAATCCTGGGAGTTGTGGTACCTATGAAGAGAAGAATGAACAGGATTCATAAGGATTCTTGGTCTCACCAAGATAATCACCATGTGCTTCCCAGTGTATGCAGTCTGCTTTCTCCTCCTACCCACAGGATATGCTTAAAGCAACACCAGACACACCTGATCTGGAAAAGAGACCTGATACAAGTGGAAATGATTCACAAGGGCAGCTGCAGAACACAGTATAGCTTTCTAAAGAAAATTAAAAAATCTCTTTTCCTAAGGTGGTCTTGGTTTCTCATTAACTTACCTAAATAGCAGGAATAATGCTTAACCCTTTTCTACCCTTTTGCATATTACTGAATTGCTTACAGATTGGTTCTTGAAACATAACCCAGTTGCCATCTCAAGTTACTGACAGCCAAAACACGAATTCTGCTTAATGAATAACCTTTGTACTTTCCTGGTTTAACTTGGTCCCTCACTGAGGGGAGGGATATAGAGATTCTAGTCTGTGTCTAACATGGACTCTGTATCTTCAGAACAACGTACGAAAATATCACCTAGAGGTAAGCCTGGTTTTACTTGTCTTCTAGACCAGCAGGTCTAAGAGTGAAGCCTGGGAGCCTCTAACCAAGAAGTCCTCAGGATATGGGTAGATCAACCACTAGAGTTAATACCCACTACTACTTTCCTTTCTTACAAGATCATGACTCGCCCCACCTCCTGGGAGTAGGGACCATGTCCTAGTTATCTTTATAACCAACCCTAGCATCTAACAGACTGCCTGGCCCATAATAATGTTTGATGAACAAATGAAGGGGTGGTAAACATTTCTGTCACCACTGTCAACCCGTCCTTCACAGAAATCTTACTGAACTAGACCCTCAAAGCTCCAGGATAACCCCTGCAAGCCATTCAACTTTCTTTGCATTTCGGCCCACTGACCTCCTCCTGTAGTTCTCTGAGGAGGAATGAAACTGGCTGCCCGTGGAGATTTCCAGATGAAGTGGTGAGCGGTGTATTGATGTCAGCATGGGCATCAACCCAGATCACACAAAGGTCTGGGCAGTGCCGGGCGTGGCCACTAATGGTACCAATTGCCAGGCTACAAAGAACAAATACAATAATCTTTAAGGCCCTCTGTTTGGCAGACATCACCAATAAATATCCTCAGCCAAGGCAGCTCACAGTTTGTCCTCAGGGCGAAGTCAAGGCCCCAGACTGAGGCTGGATTTGGATGAGACAGAGTTCCTGGGGCTGTAGTTTCCAAAGATTAACCTTGAGTGAGTTAGGGAGAAATGGAAGCCTCAAAAGATTCAACACTGACCACTCATTATCCCTGTAGTGTGACATATGGCATTGCTGCCCCCAATCCCTATAACTTGATCCATTAGCCCTGGCCCAGAAAAGGACCTCAAATATTTGTTCAATGAATGAAATTCTGTTAAATGATGTAGTCTGTATTTAACAACTCACAAATAGTGTTTAATATCTCTTAAGGGAGACCGGGGAGATCTAATGATTACTTTCAAAGAATCAGTTTTATTAACTTTTTAAGGATAAAAATTAGCATTTTAGCTTTTTAGAAAGATTGTGATACCTCCTAAAACAAAAAGTCAGAAGTTGTTAAAGACATTAACAGGGCGACCCAAAGAAAGACCTCATTTAGATCCTTGAATAAAAGACAAGTTTATTTGCATGTTATCTTATATACTTTAGCATGGCATTCAACTATTATTGTGTTTCTCTGGTTTTTGCCTTCCCTTGTCCTTGGTCTCTGCTTACATTAGCCAACTATCCTGTCTCAACTGTAGGAATATAGCTGATGAAATCACGGTTGAAAAGCTGCCCGGCTTCCCAGTAACCAAAGAATTTACATAGACGGGAAATGCAGCCCAAGCATCTTAGGAACTAACTACAGCCATCTTCTTGGCCATATAGCATGAGACAGCATTTTAAGCTCTATGCCCCACATTGGGCCTTTTTGAGAGATAGTATGGTCTAGTGCTAAAAGCAGTGGAAAGTGAGAATACTGAGGTTTTTTCCAGGAAGAACTGTGTGATCTAGGACAAGTCATCTAATTCTCTAGACTTCAATTTCCTCTTCTATAAGATACGGATGATAATCTTGGCCTGTTTAAGCCAGAGTTGGTTTGACAGTTAAGGCAATAGGCATGCTGTTATATGTAAAAGGAGCAGAATGCTTCACCTTTAAAATGTTCAACAGCTGTTCAGGTTATACACTCATCCTTTCTTTCTAGAATCTTACAGATAGCCTAGGTTTTAGCACTGAACAGGAAACACAGCAGTGACAGGATTGTAATATAGATAGCTACAGACAAAAGAAAAACCAAGGACTATGCTAATCACATTGATAAGTGGTTCCCAAAGTCTGAGACAACCAGAAAGAAGACAATATAAATGAACTTTGAGAGAGAGAGCACTGAGCTAAGAGGCAGGAGGACGCCATCCTCTGGTTGATTTATTTGAATCTCAGTAGAGAACCAGGGACTACTTTCTTATTCTAACTACAATCTTATTCCTAATGAGGAATCTACCTGCCTTTCAGTTGTAACAAAGATTTAACTTCTGCTAAGTGATCTGAAAAGCTCTGGGCACCTCAGGGAAAGTTGCCAGACTAGATTGCAAAAGAAAAATTAACTGCCTATACATGTCTCATTGGATTTGAATCTGAGCTCTGCTACTTCCTGGCTCTAAACCCTAGGTAAGTTATCTAACCTCTGTCCCTCAGTGTTTCCAGCAGTAAATCAGATAAAACTGTTTCTGCTTCTCTGCATTATTATGAGGGTTAACTGAGAACATGTAGGAGTGCTTAATACTCCTAGTACTTCAATGCCATTTCTTTCTACCAAAAACCTTCATTACTTAGCTCAAATCACACTTCCCCTGTGAAATCTGATACTCTAGCCCAGACTGATCTCTTCCTTCTGTGAAATTCTGCAGAACTCAGTATTTTTTCATTCTATGTGTATTTACATCATTTAGTCCTAATAGATTACAAGTTTCCCACAGTCCCTAACACTACTTGAGAACACATCAGACAGTGCTCAATAAAGTACATGCTGATTCACTAGAAGAATCTATCATGTTAGTCACTTAGGGTCAATACTGTGGAGGGAAAGAATGTATATGCCAAATGGGGAGTGTCTAACAAACCTATTAGCAGAAATGCAAAGGAAAAAAAACAAAAAGCCCAAATGCAGCCTATTGATGGATTTTTCCAATTCTCCCAAATAGCCAAATGAAAGTCATAAGACAGTTTCTCAAGAAAGCTTTCTAAGAGAAGAAGCATGAAACACACTGTCTAAAAACTTTCACTAGTCTACCTCTGAACCTGTCATACTACACAATGTGTCCTACAAAGAAAACTACAGATGCCTCCAGTGACTCGTGATCTGGGACATTAAAATGTGAGCATGCACATCATACCCTGAAAATTCTGAAGGGCATTTTTTCTAAGTGAGGAAACAGACAATAATGAAGCGACCTGATTAGCCCAAAGCACCATGCAATCCAGCCCCCCACCACCCCTCGGCTCCCAGCTTACCTGTGGTCCCCTCCCACTGTGACACAGCTGTAGCCACCTGACACGGCTTTACTAACCACCTCAGCCAGTTCCTGGTTGGCAAGGCCCACTGAGCGAGGATTCACTATCAGGTTGTTGTAGAGATCATCTTTGGGGACAGGAGTAAAACTCAAATCGCCAAAGTCTTTTAGGTGACAACCTGGAAACAAATGGGGGATGACAAGACTAGTTTATATGTTATTCCAACTCTCACTGGTCTGGGTCGCAAATAACTTGTGGCAAAGTTTACATCATACACGTTTTGTCACAGTAAAATTCAAAATGTCACATGACTGTGGCAGGAGTATCCCAGTCCTCCCAGCAGTCCTGTGGGGCAGATCCCGTTAGGAACACTATTTTGCAGATAAAGAAGTTGGGTTTTGGAAAGCAAAGCCCAGAAATGTTAATTGACTTAACCTAACAATCACAAAATTGGTAGCAATTAGACCTCAGATATCACAGTTATAGAGTGGTTCCAAGAGGAACCAACAGGATTTAAAGAAAAATACTAGTAGTTGAGGACAAAAATATGTGCAGAGAAATTTTCCTGTTATAAACTTTTTTTTAATAAAAGGCCAATTTGAGGACCTAAAGCATCCTAAGAGTAAGAGAAATATCTAACATCTATTACTTACAAGGTCCCAGGCACTGTTCTAACTCCTGAACACAAATTCTTATTTAAGATTCACAACAATCCTACTAGGCAACTAAAACACGCCGTTCCATAGATGGGGAAGCTGAAGCAAGGTCCCAAAGTCACACACAGCCAAGTGCCAGACTCAGCATCCAAACCCAGGCCATCTGCCCCAAAATTATGTATTCTTGACTGTGCAGTTTGTCTGCCAGAAAATCCCTCGATTCTGACACTCTAAGAACTCGTGAGTCCTTTCCCAAGAACTGACAAGATGACGGCAGCGGAGCAAAAGCAGCAGCACACCATCCTCACGTTCACCTACGGGCGCGCACCTCGACCACTGACGCAGTGACGTGGTGACGCAGCTGCGCAGCACCCCAGACACCTGCGCAGAGCCAACCAGGAGGCACCGCCCACGGAAAAGCCAGAGGTGGTGACTGCGCGCCTGTCAGACAGGATCATCCTGCCCATAGGCTCGTGCTGCCCAAGATGGTGGGCATCTACAGCCACAAGATTTTCACCCAGGTCGAAATCAAGCCCGAGATGATCAGCCACTACCTGGGCGAGTTCTCCATCAGCTACAAGCCCATGAAGCTCGGCCAGCACCGCATCGGAGCCACCCACTCCTCCCATTTCATCCCCCTCAAGTAGCCTGTCTGACCAATAAAGGCACAAACTTCTTAAAAAAATAATTAGTGATGTATTCTGACAGTGACCTGTAATATTTTCCCACCTAGGTTTCACATATTCCAGCGAATTATGACACTAGTCATTACACGGTAATTTTTATCTTTAGTGTAAGTACCAGTCTTTCAATCTTAACCACTTATATCAATAAGTTTGTGGGATGCTACATTTAGGGTGAGAACTAAATAATCCAACTCTATCAAGAAAGGATCTGAACTATCAGAGAACAGAGTGTTACCATAGATTGTATCCTTAAGGCTCTGCTTCTCAGACTGGGGGGAGGGGGATGTGGTCACAGCAGAGACATATTCGCAGAGATTTGTGTGAAAGATTTGGACAAAGACCAGCAGGGACCCATCTTGGATTTCAGTTGT